GGGCGCCGGGGCCGAAGAAAGGCTCCGCGTCTCTGGGCCCGCAAAGGGGACGGGGGACTGGACGGACGGAGCCTTCTAACCGAATGGCAAGAGGGGCCCGAGGGCACTGTGTCCCCCGCAGCCAGAGGGGAAACTGAGGCCCTGAAAGGCGCCCTTCTCACCCAACGGCTCGCAGCGCGGAAGCAAGATCGGGCCTCGAGGCGCCCCTTCCCGAAGGGCCTCGTGAGGCGCCCCAGGCCCAGCCTCTGTAGAACCCACCTTCGTTCATGCCCAGAGTTTCCCTGTGTCTGAGCTAAATTCTTCCGCGGAAGTGACCCACCCTGTTGCTGTCTCCCAAGTTCCCACACCAGGGCCCGGTGCTCCCCAGGGAATTCCGGGCACAGTCCCCAGCAGACTCCCCAAGTCCCTTCTACCTCTGTTGGTCTGGCTCCTCCCGAATCTGCGGCAAGCGTGATCTTTAGTCCCATCTCACAGAAATTTAGAGCATCTGGGAGACCTGCTCAAGGTCGCAGAGAGGACAGAGCCAGATCTGGACCTACACAGGTAGGTCCAGATCTACCTGTTCCAGGGGTTCCCATATGCACCCACACACGGACCTAAGGCGCCCCCATAGCAAAGAACTCTGAACGTGCCTGGCTTGCCCACAGTCACAGAAGAGGGAGTGATTTCAGATAAAGATGGTGCCAGTGTGTAGTGGGTCAGGAGCTAGAGGTTAGGGGTCAGCACTGGATCAGGGGGTGAAGAGGAAGGAGGTTGTAGACCCCATACTTCAGCTCAAGAGCTACTAGATAGAGAAAGTCCAGCCTGAAGAGAAGTCTAGCCCCAGGACGGGACTTCTCACTTACTCAGCCCCTTGAACTGATGTCTGACACCCCCTTTCCCAAGACTAATTTCAGTCAAAAAGAAAATTCCACCTACCCCCACCAACCCACTTTTTTTTTTTTGTGTGCCAGATTTTAAACCCAGGGGCACTTAACCACTGAGTCACATCCCAAAACCCTTTTTTTCAGGGGTGGGGGCTACCAGGGATTGAACTTATAGGCACTCCATCACTGAGCCACATCTCCAGCCCTATTTTGTATTTAGAGACAGGGTCTCATTGAGTTGCTTAGTGCCTCACTTTTTGCTGAGGCTGACTTTGAACTTGTGATCCTACTGTCTCAGCCTCCCAAGCCACTGGGATTTCAGGTGTGCTTCACTGCACCAGACCCCAGCCCTTTAAAAAAAAATTATCTTGAGACAGGATCTTAATAAATTGCTTAGGGCCTCACTAAATTGCTGAGGCTAGCCTCAAACTTGTGATCCTCCTGCCTCAGCCTCCCGAGTCACTGGTATTACTGGCCTGCACTATTAGACCAGCCACCCCTTACATCTTAAAATCGGCAAGTGTTTAACCACAGCCAAAACACCTGGCTTATTCTTTCATCCCTTTCTCTGTCCCTCCATCTGTGCAACGGGAATTGGAGAATCTGACTCCGGAAGCCAGAGTTAACAGTGGATCTGAGAGCAGAAAGCCTGGCTGTCTGGGCTGTGTGAAGCTCAATGCTGCCCCCTGGTGTCAGGATGTTGCAACCTGAAGTAGAACGCAGGGAAAGGAGGCTGAGGTAGAGAATCCCTCAGCTTCCAACCTTCTCCAAGCCCCTTAGACCTCCATCTTGTGGGAGAGGGAGAAGAGAGCACAAGCCCTGCTCACCCTATCTGTGGGGAAACATGAGGCCCCTTCTTTAGCAGAGATCTCAGACTGGGTGGTAGAGCTGGAGAGCCGGGAACACCTCAATGAGATCAGTGTCCAGTTTGCATGGGGATAATGGGGATATGATCCCTCAGAGTCAGAAATGTCTCTCTGGTCTTCTTAAAACTTTTAATTAAGACCTTCTTTTCTTTTCTTTTCTTTTTTTTTTTTTTTTTTTTTTTTTTGAGCTGGGAATTGAACCCAGTGCCACTTAAACACTGAGCCATGTCTCCAGCCCTTTTTAATTGATATATTTTATTTAGAGACAGGTTCTCGCTGAGTTGCTTAAGGCCTTGCAACATTGCTGAGGCTGGCTTTGAACTCACAATCCTTCCTGCTGCAGCCTCCCAAGTCTCTGCCACCGTGCTCAGCTAATTAAGGCCTTTTTCTACCTGAAATTTGGCCATTTGTGTTCAAAGGAGTTAAGATGGATAGATGGAAAGAAGGAAGGAAAAATGGAAGTTTTTCATTCCTTTGCACTGAGATAATATATCCAGAAGGCTTCTGCTATCGAACACATGGAAGAGTAAGCTCATTCATTTGTCTAGTTGGCCAGAAGTAATCATGGGAAAGTTGAAGGGACCGAGAAAAGCTTCCTGGAAGAACTGGCATTTGTTACAGTTTTGAAGAGCAGAGAAGACAGTAAAGATGTTCAGTTAGAGGGAGCAGTATTATCAGAGGTGCAGAGGCAGAAGGGAAAATGTGCGCTATTGATGACAAGAAGCCTCCAGCTAGGCATGATCACACATGCCTGTAATCCCAGAGACACAGGAGGCTGTAGCAGGAGGATTGCAAGTTCAAGGCCAGCCTCAGCAACTTTGTGAGACCCTGTCTCAAAATGAAAAGATTTGAGGATGTAACTCAGTGGTAAAGCACATTTGAGTTCAGTCCCCAGTACAAAAAAAAAAAAAAAAAGATGTGGTTGTGACTCAGTGGTAGATCACTTGCCTAGCATGTGTGAGGCACTGGGTTTGCTCCTCAGCACTACATAAAATAAATAAATAAAATAAAGGTATTGTGACCATCTACAACTAAAAAGAAATGTTTTTTTAAAGGCTCCAGCTTACGGGAATGGAAGGAGGCAATGCTGTACTGGAGACATGGAAAAGGAAGCTTTGAGGATCCTGGGGAGGTGCTGAATGTCAGGCCAAGTGGGAAAAAACTCTGGTCTGGATGGCAGAGTTCTGGGTGCTAACCCATGGTGCTCTGAGTGGGTACCACTCCCCAGCTTTGCTCTCAGGAATCTTCTCCAGACACCACTGGGAGCCATGATAAGTTCCCCATCCGGGTAGTGCCCAGGAATCGCAACTCATAGACCAATCAGACTGGCAGGTACCATGGACCTTATCAAATCTAATCCCCTGAATTTGCAGATGAGAAAACTGAGGCCAAGAGGAGAAATGACTTTCCAGCAATGCACAGCAAGCTAGTGGCAGAGGTCTCCATTCCCTCAGCTCTGGGCTCTTTTCCTTTTACTACAGTCTAAGGTGGCATCTGGGGGAATGAACTGGAGGAGAGCCACTGGGAACAGAGATTATGAGGCCAGTCAGCAGAAAATGTTTATTGAGCTCCTTACCCTGCTCCTATCTTGGACCAATCAGAGGAGTTCATGTGTTGTGCATCCACACAGGGGGACCACAAAGAAAATCAATCTGGTAGAGTCGCATGAGGCCCATATGGTATTCATGAGAGGAACAGGCATCAGGAGCAGATAAGGGTGAGGATCTAGGAAGGTCTCCAGGAAAAGAAATGACCTTTGGTTCCCTCGGATTCTTGACCGTGGTCTCTACTTTCTTCATGAACTAGAGACACAGCTCCTCTTTCCACAGTGAAGCAATGTGCTGCCCAGCCACCAGAAGTCCCCTGATCCTCTCACAGCCTGTGGGAAAGAGGATGCAGGAGCCCAGACTGTTTCCTGGTTGCAGGCCCTTTGCCACCAGCCCTCTTCATCTCCTCTGCTATGTTGGACCCTTGTACCAGGAGCTGGGCGAGGTGGTACCTTAATGCAAACATCTCATCCCCAGTCTATACTGTGGTAAAAATGTCGTGGGTCGTACGTAGAGTTCCAGTTCTCAGTGAAATCTGAAAAGGCTGTGCTGATTTTGTGTATTGTTCTCTAGGGTTAAGGTATAAAACTTTCTCCCTGTCCAGAACGCTAACTATAATGATAAAATACAAACTGAGCACCCACCCAATGTTTATTGCATGAGAAAGAAAAATGTACAAATCCCTGATCCCAAACCTGGTTATATTTTCACAGTGAAAATATTGCCCTGACCCCAAACACAGGCTCAAGAACATAGGGGCTAAGCCTGAGTCCCTACCTTGAAATTCAAACATACTTGTAGGAATTCAAACATATTTTCATTGCTCTATGATGATAATAGCATATAATCCCTTAATTGCCTTTACTTCTGGAGCCAGATCATTCAGTTTCAAGTCCTGACTACTCTACTCCAACTGGCTATGGTACTTTGTCACCGTCCCTTAATGAAGGCACACAGAGTATAAGAGCTTTCATTTGTAAAGCCTCACAAGACAGTTATGAAATTTTATTATAAATAACCTAATATATATTATATATGTATATTAGAGAGAGAGAAAAAGAATCCCTTTTGAGCAGCTCTTAGGACAGAGTGAGAACTTACGACACATTAGATAGTGTCATTACTTGAACTAAAATCAATTTCCAGAAAAAGTGACTTAATGTTTGACTCAGACACTCACATATTTTTCTGTCTTTCTCTCCCACCAAGGTCAGTGTTGTTATTTTATATCCTGCAGTTAAATATGTCCATGGTAATATTTCCTTTCATAAACCATCTCTGAATTAATAATAGAAGCATTTATTCAGAATTTCCTATACACAAGGCTTTATGCTAATTCATTCTCTTTTTATTTTATTTATTTATTTATATTTATTTATTTATTTTTATTTTTTGGTACCAAGGATTGAACCCAAGGGCACTTAACTACTGAGCCATATCCTCGGTCCTTTTTATTTATTCTTATTTATTTATTTTATTTTGAGACAGGGTCTCACTAGGTTGCTCATAGCCTCGCTAAGTTGCTAAGGCTGGCTTCAAACCTGTGATTTTCCTTTCTCAGCCTCCTGAACCACTGGAATGGCAGGCATGTGCCATCATGCCCAGCTCTCTCTTTAGCACAAACTTGCAAGGTAAATGTTTTGATTCCCATTTTCCTGGTGGAAAAAAAAAATGAGACCCAGAAATGGGCAATGTCCAATTCAGGTATACTGTAAGCTCCTAACTGGAAGCTTTAGCCCTGTCCCACCCTTCCTGCCTCTGGGATCCACTTTCTTTCCAAATGCCAAGAGGACATTGGTTTTGCAATGTTCTCCCATGACATGGACAGGCTGATACAGAGTTCAAATGGTGTGTCTTCAGGGACAGACAGAATGAAACTGCAGTAAAAAGACAAAGGGTAAAAACTGGGACACTAGAAATAACCAGTCCCACACCTACCCTCACAGAACTGAGGCATGAATCAGACTTGATCTGTTCCCTGGGGAGAGACATGAAGAAGGAAATTGATCTCTTGGAAATTTTATCAGCTCTCCACTGTATCCATCGTGGAAAGCCAGCTCCTCCTCACCCATCAGCATCACAAGTGGTGATAGGCATCCCATCCACCGGGAAGTTCAGGATGCTGGACAGGCTCAGGTAGGAGGAACTGTCTGCTGGAAGATGCACGGATGCCCAGGAAGTCAACACGGGAAGACTCAGGCCTGCCCCTTGCAGATCATTATCAGAACTGCAGGCCTCTAGGCTCAGAGGGGCTTTGTGGTGCCAGTGGCCACCCACACTAACAACCTGGAAAGAGGGAATTGACATTGTGGAAGCCAAGCCAAGCACTGTGCTGGTCTCTTTCCATTGGTGATTCCTTGACTCCTCTCCACCACGGTGAGGTGGGGATGACTATCCCCTGTATACAAACAAGGACATAGGGGCAAGCAGTTTAGGTGGCTTTTTCAAGGCTACACAGTTAGTGGTGGCCAAGGATTCAACCCCCATGTCCTCCTGTGCACTGGACTCCCACATGATGTGGGGGGAGTACAACTCAGAGTTAAAAAGTCAGCCCCTCTGCAGTAGCTACCAGTGTGCAGGGAGATTAGGTATGGCCAGCTGCTGTGGGAGGACACAGGGGGACATGTTCTTAAGCTCAGGAGACGAGTCCAGGCTGGGGCGAAGTGAATATCAGCCTGCCTCGAACAGCCCTTCTGAGACCAGCACCTGTGCACTGGACTCAGGAATGTCCCAAACATGGCCCTGTTCTAGGCCCGCATTTCAGGGGAGCCACACTGAAAACACCTTTTGAAGTGGGTGCGGCAGAGAACATGTAGGAATAAGTGAATATGCTAAGTGAAAGAAGGCAGACAAAAAGTCTCCTACTTTTTTTAATTCCATTCATATTAAATTATACAAAATTATGTATGGTAACAGAAAGTAGATCAGTGGTTAACAGGCTCAGGGGTAGAGTGGACTACAAAGGAATATGAGGCAAATTTGGGGTAATGGAAATATACATTCTACAAATGGTAAATATATACTCTATTTTTATTATAGTGGTAGTTTTACAGTCATATATATTTGTCCAAATCCATCAAATTACTTAAAATAATTTGCCAGGTGTGGTAAGACATGCCTGTAATCTCAGCCACTGGGGAAGTTGAGGCAGGAGGATCACAAATTCCAGTCTAGCCTCAATGATTTAGTGAGACCCTGTCTCAAAATAAAAATAAAAATGGGGGCTGGGGATATAACTCAGTTGGTACAGGGCTATACTCGAATGCACAAGGCCCTGGGTTCAATTCTTAGCACCACTAAATAAATAAACATAAAAATGAGCTTTGGGTTGTAACTCAGTGGTGGAGAATCCCTAAGTCCCCAGTATCTCTCTCTCTCTCTCGTTCACACACACACACACACACACACACACACACACACACAAAGAATGGAGACAGGTCAAGGCCACAGAAACTGTGAAAAGACTCAGGCATCTGGACTACCCCAATCTCAATCCCACCAGGACCCAGCACTCTTTCATCTGATGCCATGACAGCTTATATAGAAGGCAGGGTCCAGAGTGGGTACCAGCAGCATGTCCAGGTCCAGAGGCCTCCACGTGACTATCAACTCTTGCTGATAGTCCTCCAGGGACTTTAAGGAGGGTAGGGGATAGCCTCATCTCTGTTTGGCAGATGAGGTTAAATGCTGTCCTGGATTAGCCACCATCAGGAATTCTCAGGCTATGAGTTACAGACACCTGGAAAGAAGGGGAATCTCAGCCTGCAATGACACGGGAACTATGTGTCATCCTGGCTTCAGGGAGATGGACTAGATTAAGCCTCCCATCCAGGTTCTGCTGGGCCTCCCCTGAAGGCCAGGCCAGATCTCTGCCCCATCCGGCCACTTAGGGCAGTACCTGGGTTTCTGTTGCCCCAACTCCTGCAGCCCATTAGGCTCTTCCCAGCCACATTATCACCTGCACTGCTGTGTGCTGCTCCCAGAGTTTCCTGGGTATAAGGAAGACTCTGAGAAGTTCAAAGATCAGCATAGAAGTGTCTCTTTTTACACCAACAGGGAAATTATTACTCAGTGAAAACCTAAATAAACCCTCTTGCTCTGCTCACTCTTTTTTTTTTTTTTTCTTTTGGCTACTGGGGATTGAAATCAGGGACACTCAACCACTGAGCCAAATTCCCAGCCCCTATTTTCTATTTTATTTAGAGACAGGGTCTCACTGAGTTGCTTAGTCCTCGCTTTTGCAGAGGCTGGCTTTGAACTTGCAATCCTCCTCCCTCAGCCTCCTGAGTCTCTGGGATTTCAGGCCTTTTCCATGGTGTTGGGCATCTGCTCACTCTTAGTTGACTGAAAATTCACTGATTTGGGAGGTCACGTGGCCAGGCAACACATTATTAATCTCCCACTAGCTTTGTTGTAGATAGCGCCTCTGACGTGCAGGTTATGATGATAACAGTTGCCTGAGTTATTTTTCAGGGATGTGAAGCCTATTTTTGATGAAAATATTGACTCTTCACTTTGGCCTGCAGATTTCCAGTGGGTCACTGGTACAGGATAAAAAAGCTTAGCATCTCTGCCTTCATATTGTGTCGGTCTCCTTTGCTGCCTTAACCTTTGGGTTAGATTCTACTCAGCTCTGCTTGTTGACACGTTGGTCATTTGAGAAATGTTTTGTCCGAAACCAAAATACAGATTTAACTTGACTTCTACTTACCCAGTCTCTCCCCACTTCCAGGCTGAAAACAACTACCAGCCACTACAATCAGAAACCCTGGATCAAGAAAGGAGCAAAAAGAGGTGGCACATAAGTTCCTGAAAGATCTCCACCTATTTCCAGGAAGAACATGAATACATGAAGAATATGAATATGTCCCTTTAGGAGCCTATCTATCTCCCTCCTTCATTATTCCTCTCCTGTATCTATAACCCTGTAACTCCCTATAATTCCCTGGCATTGATAAGTTGATTTGCAAGCAAAATTCCTGTTTCTCTCCTCTTTGGCTACTGAGTAAGCTCTTTCTTCTTTGTTACTCTGTCTCTTGAGTCATTAACCTTATCAAGAGGCAGAATCGGGGCTGGGGTTGTGACTCAGTAGTAGAGCACTTGCCTAGCATGTGCGAGGTCCTGGGTTAGAACCTCAGCACCACATAAAAATAAATTAAATAAAGGTATTGTGTCCAAGTACAACTAAAAAAATAAATATATTTTTTAAAAAGAAACAGAATCAAATTTTATTTATTTATTTATTTACTTACTTACTTACTTATTTACTTACTTGCTTGCTTACTTACTTATATACTTATTGGCACTGGGAAGTGAACTCAGTGCTTAACCACTGAGCCACATCCCCAGCCCTTTTTGTTTTTTATTATGAGACAAAGTCTCACTAATTTGCCTATAGCATCACTCAATTGCTGAAGCTGTCCTGGAAATTGTGATCCTTCTGCCTCAGTCTCCTGAGTTGCTGGGATTATAGATGTGTACCACCATGCCCAGTTATCAAGCCTCTTCTTAATTATAACATGACACCTAAATGCAAGGTCTGGCTTCATTGCAGGTTGTAAATCAGCTGTAATGGACTGCAAATGGGCTAGGAGTTACCTGTGTCTTTTCCCTCCACTGCCCAAGGTTTCCAAGGTCATATTTCCTCTGCTCAACCTGCCCTCCTAACAGTAGCCATAGGGACTCAAGCTCCCCCCCAAAGCCACAGCTCCTTCCTTTAGCCTGTGAGGCACCTGGTTAGCCCTTAGGCCACTCTAGCTCAATTCCAACCAGCACCTCAACCCTACCCACAGAGACCAATCTAAACAGAAAAGCCAAGCCCAAGCCAGAATCCTCTCCCATCCTCACCTCTCATCTAACTCTAACCCCACCCCAAATCCAATCTTCCTCCCAGCCCTGAATCTAAACTTGTCTTCACTCTCAAATGCAACCCCAACTCAAACCAACTCAACCCCTGTCAAAACCTAGCTTCAAACTTTTCTCCCACCTAACCCCAATTCTAGTCTTCACTGAGATCCAAACTCCCATCCCTAAACTAGCCCCAATCCCAGCACCAGTCAAAAGTCTACACTTGGGACTGGGGCTATAGTTCAGTGGGTAGAACTCTTGCCTAGTATGTCTGAGGCCTTAGGTTCAATCCCCAGCACCACGAGGAAAAAAGGAAAGTCTAAACTTAATCCTAGTATCAAGCATGATTTCCAAACCCTAATTAAGTGAGGTACAGTGGTGTACACCTGTAGTCCCTGCTGCTCAGGAGGTTCAAGTGGAAGGATCACTTGAGCTCAGGAATTCAAGGCCAGACTGGAAAATATAGTTAAGAACACTTTGAAAAAAAAAAAAAAAGATTGCTAAGTCGAAATAGCCTCCCCTCAGTGGACATCAATTCTAACCACATTTCTCTCACTTAATTCCCACCATCCCATGGACTACCTTTGTGGGCAGGAGCTGGACCCAAAGAGACTCACTATTTCAAAATATCTTCAAAATTCTGTCTCAGGATCCTAGAGGTGGAAGAGACAGAGAGACCACCTTTAGAGATGAAAGGGAGGGGCTAGGGTTGTGGCTCAGTGGTAGAGCACTCGCTTGGGTTCTATCCTCAGCATCACATAAAAATAAATAAGTGAAATAAAGGTATTGTGTCTAACTACAACTAAAAATAAATAAATATTAAAAAAAAAAAAGAAATGAAAGGGAAAGGGCTGGGGTTGTGACTCAGTGGTAGAGCACTTGCCTAGCATGTATGAGGCACTGGGTTTGATTTTCAGCACTGCATATAAACAAATAAAGGTCTATCAATAAGAAAGAAAAGAAAAGAAAAGAAAGAAAAACAGTCTGGCTGGAACAGGGGGGTCAGTTAGGGCAGCACTGTTCAGCATGCTGACCTGGAGCCCTCTCTTCCCCACAAGCCCCACCCCTTCACCCAGCCCACAGCCACCCTAAACTCTCACAAGCTCCACCCCTTCCTCTGAGATACCCTGGCTCAGCCTCCCTTTGTGTGTGAAGCTCCCTCCCTTCTAAAAGTTCCCCTCTCTTTTGGCCCCCTTCTTTCTCCTTTATTTCTTTTAAAATTATTTTAAAAAAATTTTTTTTTAGTTGTCAATGGACCTTTTATTTATTTATTTATTTATTTATTTTATCTGTGGTACATGAGAATCAAACCCAGTGCCTCACACATGCTAGGCAAGTGCTCTACCACTGAGCCACGACCCCAGCCCCCTTTAATTCTTCTTCGCCTCCTTGAGCCTCTCTCCGAGCCATCTCCAGTCTCTGGGTCTCCTCCTCACTGACCCTGACCCCTTCATTTCTGAGCCCCCTTCTCTTCTCTGGACCCCTCCTCTCTGAGCACCTTGGCTGTCTGAATCCCTCCTCTCCTCCACACCCACAATAACTTCAGAATCCAGGCCAAGAAAGCACTTGAATACTTCTGGCAGATGTAACTGTTTGGTGTCCCTTTCATGCTGAGGCCCACAGTGTCCCACTCTCTGGGGAACCACAGTCACATATCCACCTTTAGCCACTGGCTTGCCCACACACCCACCCAACTCCCCATCATAGATAAGCCATAGAGAGAGGTCAGATGGGGCCTGAGTGGTGATTTGCTGCATAAGTCACATTGTTAACCAGAGGCATACCAGCCCAGCCCCCCAGTTCTCCTCTTGAGGCTCAAATTTTCTCTAGTCCTCCCCACTCTGTTCCACCATGCCCCAGGCCTGAGCTCCCTTAGACATACAGCTTCTGCAGAAAGATGGGCCTCCATTGGCAGACAGAGCTCCTAAGTTACAGGTGTTGATGATACATTCCAAGGTGATAACCTGGAGATACAGATGCTAGTCAAGGCCTAGAGCTTCATCTACTCTGTCCTGTTTTCTCTCTGCCTTCCCCAGAATTGAAAGAGGGGATGCCACATCACCTGTTCTTCTCTGTCCACTTCAGTTCCTCAGAAGGGCATGGGAGGCCCATGTGGCCAGCCCCTCTCTTTCCACACCTGCTTCTTTATCCCAGCACAGCAGAGGAGACAGCAGTAGGAGAGACTCCCTTTCGGCATGCTTCTCTGTGACCCAGCCAGTGTGCCACGTGCTTTATATGTGGGAGCCCATTTAATCTCCAGGGCCACCCCATGTGGCAGAAAACCAAGGCTCAGAAGAGGTTAAGAGGCTAGTCCAAGATCACATAGAAGGTGTGTGGCTGACCTCCAATTCTCAAAGGGGAGGTGGGGTAAGGAAAAGCCACGGTGGGGGGGGGCAAGGGAGAGCAGGTAGAACTGGGACAGCGTTCTTTATAGCCATCTGATGGAGTCCACAGAGATCCAAGCTAAAGGAATTAAAGGAGTGAGTCCCTGAGTCTCCAACACTGAACAGGAAAAGACTTGCTGTCTTCTTTATAGTGTAGGCTCACCTGGTCCTTCCTCTGCCTCCAGGAAGCTTGGGGAGAACACAGCGATCTTAGCAGCCCAGCTCAGAGCCTTCTTTCTCCTCTCTCTCCAGAGATGGCCTACTCTGGCATCTCCTCACTGGTCTTCCCCATCGGCTAGGGTGGGTCAGGTGAGCCTACTTGGTGTCCTGAGTCCTTGAGCAGCCTGCTGCTGAGCTTCTTGGCTCTGGCCATACTAGGAGATAGCTGGTTGTAGTCATCAGATCCCTAGTAGCCAATGTGAAGGGGTTGGTTACTGGAGGACACCTGGGGGCATAAAAGGCTGGGTAGGGCTCAAAGGAAAGACTGGGCTGGGCATAAGCTTCCCTCACTCTCCAGAAGCCAGTTTTGTAGCACAGGCCTAGATCTATAGACATCCTCACCCAGTGTGAAGTTTACAGGGACTCCCCAAGAATGCCTGAGAGCCTCCATATACTCTCTGGGCTCCAGGTGCTCTGGGAAAGAATAAGAAATGGATGGGGAGATGGGGTGGATAAAGTGAATGGGTAAGTAGTAGGTGGTTGGATGATGGATGGATAAGACAGCAGATGGGTGGGTGGGCAGAGGGTTGAATGTGTAAGTGGAAGGGTGGATGGGTAAACCGTGGGAGTTGAGTGGGTGGACAGGTGAGTAAATAGATGAGAAGATACTTCTTAAGCTAAGGATGTGTCAGGAGAGGATGAGTATAGAGAGATTAATAGGGCCAGACAATGATCATAGCTTGGTAAACTAGGACACATGTAGGAAATCATAAACAGACACTGGCTGAATGTCAGAGACTCTGTCCTGTAAAGAGGGTTCTGGAGTCAGACAAGGCCAGGTGCAAAACTCAGCTCTGATATTTATAAGCCATATGATCTCAGCAAGTCCTTCCACTTCCCCTTCAATTTCCTCCCTTGCAAATGGGAAGAGCAATGGTCATTCCATAGAGTGAGTATTAGGGTGGAATTCAAAGAGCCTCACTCACCGTTGTACCAATAAAGATAGTTGAATGAATTCATGAATAAAGGAGGGCTGCCAGAGCTGGAAAGGCCTGGAGTTGTCTTGTAATACTGTTACTGGTACTGATGGGGAGACTGAGTTCTGGAAAGGATGTGATTTGGCCAGGGTTACTTCCATGGTCAAAGCCCAGCTTAACCAGGAACCATACCTGCTAAGTGTGATGGCTGTTTGATGTTGGAGTCCCTCTTTGGGGGAATTACCACTATGGCTCCAGATTGGCAAGAGGCCAAAGCAGCTTTTGTCCACCAGGGGCAGGAAACAAACAAGATTTGAGTGTATGGTTTCTTGCTCACTGCACCCTGGTTGGGAAAGGAAGTCTTCACAGGGGAGGATCAGACAGCAGACAGGTCAGTGAGGAATAATGGAGGGGAGGGAAAGGAGTCCCCTTCCTAGCTCTGCTCCCCACCACCCTCCCGGCTTACCTCCTCCCTAAAAGGCATGAGAGGCACATTGGGACCCAGTCAGAGTACATCTCCATGCAACTGGGCTTGCAGACCCAGCACCAGGCTGTCTGCGTCCCAAGCAATGGGGCCTGCCACAGGGTCACTGCACAGAGATGAGGGGAAAGGAGACTCCTCTCAGCTTTCTGCTTTGGGGATCCCTACTGCCTGGTTTCAGAGAGTGGGACCAAAGGCCAGGGCAAGGGCCAAGGGAAGAGGCCTTGATGCCACCCTGAGTCAGGAGTTGTGACCTGGTGAGATTGATAGATGGCCACAGGAGCTTTGGTGCCTGGTGGGAGAGTTTCATCTGGGACAGAGCATC